GCATTCTGACTGCAGATGCCCCCCGCCTTGACACATCCTAAAAGCATAGCATTTTCTCATTCTTCCTCCTAAAAGGACAAGTTTCACTTGAAGAGTACTTTAACATTTAAGGATGAAAAAACAAACAGTGACTACCTCTCAGAGTCTTCATCATCAAGTTCATCAGAGATACTCCACTCTGGATCATCTTCCAAGTCAACCATCATTGCCAGCATCTCAGGAACTGTGATTTGTGACAAACAATTAAAATGTCATGAGCACTGTAAAGCTGCAGAAAATCTTTTAAAAAATGCCACTGTAACTGTACAGAAACAACTAATTGCTTTGTTCCAAAAATACCCCTCCCACTGAGGGTTTTTCGGTTCATACATGTACTTTCCTTTCAAGATTTTGGTTTTTGAGATCTCCTTCACCCTTGGAATTACCAATAACCCTCCTTGAGGTGGCTATGGATGTTTTCTGGAACCACACAATTTTATTTTCCTGTTTATCACAGAAATTTAAAATGATTAATAAACATAAGAATCTCAGAAAAATGGCCAGCTTACCTATTACCGGGATGTATTTCTGACATTTCCTCAGCATGGCTGGTGCTACAATGAATATAAAAAAATTAATGGTTTAAACTTAAACAAAATTGAACCTGGATAAATTAAGGGGGTACAGTTAAAGAAATGTCCACTCTGTACTTACTACATGCAAGTCAAATTTCACGATAATTTTTGGCTTTGATCTCGATGGTGTACACAACTCACTAACCTGTCTCAGCTAGTGTCACCACACACTCTAAAGATAAATGTCTCCAGCTTTCAACAAGACTTGTGTTACGAACAATCTGCAAAGGTGAATTTGCTCATAAACAGACATGTTCAGCTGTCGATGTACACTCTTATGCATTTAGTTGCACAAGTATGAATGAAAAACAGGAAAGACTTGTAAAAACAAAAGTAATCTTTCTGTTGTTTTTAACTATGATTGAATCAGGCAGGCACTTCATTGCAATCGTGCCTTCATCGGCTGCTTTCAAGAGCCAGTGAAAGTCATTTAATTACACATGCTTAGCTGATACAATTTGTGCGAGTTTGTACATGTAACCTTAATCTCACTGCAGGCCTACGCCAATTAAAGAGGTTAATTTCAATAATGAACATGTTTTATTCCTAGTCTGAATACTTTTGTTGAGAATGACAAAGAACAGACTTGAGTTGTCAGACCAGAATATGATGACAGGGTTTGACCTCCAGGCTTCCAGATCCAAAACCCAGTGTTCGACAGCTGGACTATCACCAGCCTTGCACAATTACAAAATAGATTCACCAGGTGTTGTGAAAAACATACCTCCAACATCAAGTCTAAAATTTGTTCCAAATTTGTCCTGAGAAGCTTGGGACAAGTGTCGGCTAAGTCTATCAGACATTTTAACACGGAGTCATCAGCATTTGCTTGAACACTTTCCCGAACAGCCTGATGTAAAAGAGAAAAAAAGAGACAATTAACCTAGATTGCTAATACATGGTTCCAAAAAGTACCGGTAAGGAAACAGACTAACACTCATTTCCCATGTTTTTTAAAATTATGTGGCTTAATGTAATTTAGGCTTTTTAAGACTATATTGCTGGCCAGCAGTCTCCCACAGGGTTGATGTGCAGGGGTTGGCCCAAGTGTTGGTGCAGGGGCTCCTTGTAGTTTACAGCTCTGTTTTGGATTTCACTCCATTCTGCATGTTTTTCACTGCTCATAGACTTTTCTCCCAGCCCACCACTCTCCTTCTCAATTGCTTGTTCAGTGTGACAGTGCCAAGTGGTTGCCACTCACAGGGTTGTCATAGATACCCTACATGCTCAGCTAAGATTGCTTGTGGGTCCACCATCCTTTCAGGCACCATATTCCTCAAGCTCATCTCATGTTGGTGAGTTTAATGAACAGTGAGCAAGAAATTAACAGCACCTTACTGCTGTGCTATGTGCTTCATGTACCTTGGTAACATCCTTAACTCACCCCTACCAATAAAGGATCTTTAACATTATTCTACCATTCTTACCTGTACTATACCTGGGACTAAATCAGCAAATTGCCTTTGTTTGACTTCTTCAACTTGATCTGTAATAAAGGCAACGGATGCACGTGCTGACATAAAACGAACCTGTAACAAAGGAAACAACAGCACCATAAATTTCAAATAATGCAGGTTAACCTAGCAGCCTGATCATTGCAACATACAAAATAGTCTTTACAGCAGGTCCGTAAACTTGTAAATAATAAACCTCTACAGAACATTCTTGCCCAGTTATGCATGTTGGTTGAAGGCTGACCACAAAAACGATACAGCTTACAATGTAATCTGTTTAAGGCAATTTACAGAACACTTAAGGATTTGTTGGGACTTTTCCAGAAACCAGCAAAGAGCAAAAATTCAATTGGGACATTTTGGGGGCATTTCCAACGAGATTGTTGCATTCAGCAGTGTGTCAGTAGACACTGTTACTGTAAAAAGCTATCTTTCAACCCCCCATGTACACAAGTGTGAAATTCCACATTGATTTTCGGTGCTCTAATTCACTAGTACAGTAAATGTTTAGTGCTATGTTTAAAAACAAATTTTCTTGTTAAAAAACCTAGGTGACACATTGTTCCAGGGTCTTCTCCTATAAACCTCCTACAGCAAGTTGAAAACTGTGATACAATCAAGTGGAAGAAGAGCTAACTGGTGGGCTCAAGTTTACCTGTTGACTAGACTGATCCTGAAGACACTGCCACAACATCTGTTTGATAACCTGCATATAATGCTCTTGTTGTGTTCCAAAAATTCCAGGAAAAGATCTACAAAACATTGCTTTTATATTCAATACTTACATGTACACCAGTTGAGATAATAGAGAAAAAAAGTCAAAAACTTGCAGCGGCAATTACACTGTATAGCCTCTCTACTGTTTTGAAATGTGCCAACTATAAAGTGACATAATGTACATCCAACAAAATCACTATTTTGGTTTGGCAAGACAGAAAACAAAACATGGCCAGACATCACATACCATGACTCTCTTGGTACACTAGTCAAGACCTACATGTACTGATTCAAAGAAGTTGTACAATCAGAAGCTCACTAAAATTGTGCCCAAGTTGGTCTACATATATACAGATGATGGGACTTTATTTTGTCTCTGATGTACTGTAAAAAGAGCACAACCATGATAATGAAAAAGGCAACATTTATTACTGTCCACACTTGACATTTAGCAGGCACAGGCAATTAATTTTGGTTGGCTATGGTCCAATATTGATGATCAACTGTTATTTTGCAATTCTGACCATGTGAAAAGGAAAACTGATAATTCCCTTAGATGAGACACCATGTCTAGTTCACAGACATTGACTGAGAAATATTACAACACGAACAAACTTACACAAAAATATGAAGTGCACTTTCCTTCAGCTCTGGTTTTGGTGAATTGCAGCATCCAAAGAGAAATTTCAAGAGTTCTTGCCAATGATTATACCCTTCCTCATCTATTCGACAAATAAAATTATTTTTAAAATCTACAAGTTAAAAATACATAATATTAACCATCTCAGCTTAATTAAAAGTAATCTAACCAGTATTTATTCAATCATATCATTTAAAAGTTGAATGGCAATAGTCACAGTAACTATCAGTTACTTTACGTCAAAAAATTATTTAAATGATTCAATTTGAACTCAAAATTACCAAATAGGGCTTTCAGTTACTCACTGACAACCAATGCACAACTTATTTTGTTAGACATGAAAATGCTACCAAAACGGGACATGAATTTTCACCATGTTGCTTGGAACCTACCAAGAAGACTTCTAGATAATTCAGCAACAGCATCACAAACTTTTTTGCGGATTGTTTGCACCTCTTCATCACCAATTGCCTTGAGCAAATCATTTTTCATCTCTTGCTGAAATGCTGGGTCAAGTTTGTCGTAAAAATCCACTGAGCTTGAGAAAATCCTACGCAAGAGTACAGCTGACATCTGGCGAACCTTTAAAGAAATCAGTCTTAATATCAGTTACCACCACAGTTAATATCAGTTACCACCTTTTCTATTTCCAAGTAAAAATAATAAGAGGATTTGTAAGAAAATTTTCAAAGAAGAGTAGCCATTAAATTTCATACAAATCCTATGAACTTTATGACCTTAAATCATTTCTTACCTCAGGGATTCCTGACGTTCTAATCATCTGAATAAGGAATTTGATTTTTGTTGGCTCATCAATTGTATCATAATGTGCCTGTTAGGATGTAAAGAAAACATGATTATAATAAATACAAATTGAATAATTGTAAATATATCATCATCATCATCATCACATAAAGCCTCTAATAACGTCATAGACACAGCCTGCTCTACTCACAAAAAATATAAAAAAATAGCAAAGACCCATGATTCATATTGTTTGGGTACCCATTGTTTGGGAAACTATCTTCAAGGCCTGTGGAATTACCTTATTTGCACAAACATTATAACTGGAGAAAAGTCCAGCAGGCAGGACATAACTTAAGGTGTTTTTTTTGCTGTTGTTGTTGTTTTTGTCTTTGTTTTGAACAGAGTATATATTTAGATGTAATGACAGCATTTATCACAGTATATATTTTGAGTACAGCCATGCCAAAAGAGAAACAGAACGTCCCTCACAGAAGGCACGTGTTTAGGAATTAAGCCCGGGGGAGGTACTTTGGGAATTTCTGGATGGGGATGTGCCTCTGGGACCCTGGAACCCTTAGCCTATACCAGAGCTAGTTCAGCTGAATTCTGTTACCCTACACTAGAGTAAACTCCATAAATCCCCCCATCTATCGACACTATTGCGGCTGATTTGCATAAATTTAAACTTGCCGATTTGATTTTTTTATATTTTTGAGTGGCAATTCCTGGTTTCCTTAGTCTAGATGAAATCTTCAACCAACTNTATATAGCCCATATATGGCAGTGCCCCCCCCCCCCCGGGAATTAAGCTTAAAATTACAATTGATGCAAATAACCTACAGAGAAGTGCATAAAAATCACTTCAACTGTGTAACAGAAATCCTAGCTGGCAGCTGAGGTAAAATGTAGAAAACTGATTTCAACATGGTCATTTCTTTAGACAATAGCGTATTGACATTACTTGCTAGCAAATATCACCGGAACATTTGTAATGACATAATGTAACAGTCAGTGCCGACTTGCTCATTACGTGTTTGTTGCAAATTACGTTTGTAACTTTTTCCTTTTTTGATTAACACCAAGGCAGTTTGTTTAAAAAAAAAAAGATTCATAAGATGCTTTCCCTGCTCGTAAACGGACTCTTGCATTTCTCAATTGGTTTGCAAAATAATTATAAACTCATTCACATCGCATTAAATCGAACTCGGAAATAAATAATTATTACCTCAGTGCTGTATGTAAGCTTAATAAGCAGTTGGTAATATCGACCGTTGTTTTATAATGGCATACAAACTCAAGTGGGATTTAAGGGTTTAAGGTTACTGTAAACCGACTTTAATGCAACCCTAAATCACTGGAGTGACCTTAAGTAATCCCGGAAAAATTCATTCTCTGTAAACCCCCATACTCGATGCGTTATGCACAGCAGAAGGTTCTCGAATGATAACACTGAAAACGTGGGTGAAAATATCATCAAAACAACCCGTTGTTTCGACACTATAACGCCGCTTAAGGCAACGAGAAGAAGAAGAGTTTTTTGCGAGGCGATGGGAAATGCAGGGCCTTGAAAACGTCAAGCAAAACTTCAAATTTTAACATGCACATGGCATGAAGAGTCAATCGAATCCTGCCGGCGATCTGTACTTCTCGAATACATTTTCCCGGCAACAGGCCTCAATGTAGTTTCTCGGGCAGGTAAAGCAATGAAAGGATTCTAATGAGAAAAATAAAGATTTTCCTACCTCTGCCTGATTCCTGATATTGTTATCAGGGGACATCAGCTGGGTAACAAGAGATTCGAATTGCTGCTGCTCGTTCGCCATTACGGCCACCATATTGCCCAACCTTCGGTGTGTACGCATGCGCCTGATTTTGCTCATAGAAATTTTTTGGCGGGAAGTGGATCCGCTTGTGAGATTTTCAAATTTTGGCGCGACAGTCAACAATACTTTTGTTGATTTCTCCGGAAATCCAACAACATCGTCATCATTAAAGACCCGGTGACGCGGAGTAGTGGTCTTTGTAGAGATATAGAGCACCATATGGTCATTATATGGTCAATTAATTTGATTTTTTTGGCGCCAAAAAGGTTCTGGACAGATCTGGGTTGTACACTGCTGTACACCACTCTCAAATTCCACTCCTACGTAACTTACCCAACACTTTAAGCCCCTCGGCAACACAAATAGCCACAGTATGTGAACTATTGACAAATTTTCTTCCCCCATTGCTTTTCTTAAACAAAGTTCACTGATCCTCGTCTTCAGACGTATTTGTCTTCCTTGTTTGGAAAATATCTAGAAAAGATGTGATGTCTATCACTACACTTAAAACTATTCTTCTAGTTATTGGTCCTGAAGCAAGCCCAAGAGACCAGGCGACCGCGCTGAGGTTTGTAGTTACGAAGAATATCGAACCAGCGACTGACACAACGTAGATGATTGTATCTGACGAAGGCTCAGTGTTTTGCCAGCGGAAATATAGTACACCTTAAAAAATCATCATACGTTGTATTGGTCTCTGTTTCGTATATTCTTCATTTTCCATGTGAAGCCGATTAGATCACTGTTGATCCAACATATCCCAGCTGGATCATCGTCTGCGGTTGCTTGCTTAAATATTTGATAGTCTTGGCTAATGGTTATGTCGGGCAAGAACTCTAGCGAGATCAATTCGTATAGCCTGGCTCATTGTAGTTGAAACTTTCTGAATTGACTTTTCTTTATCTCCTGGGCAGCGAAAAGTTAAAGAAGTGAATTCAACGAAAGATTAAGCCTCCGAAAACAATCGTCCTTCTCAGTTCGCTCCCGTCCCGAGTGGCGTTGGCGCCAAATAAGGACGGGTGTTTTCGCAGGCTACGAAAGATTGAATGGATCCCGATACTGGACTAATTACTAGGTCATACTGAATCCACCCTAGGGGATCACCAAGGACAGGACATAGAGCAACCTCCTTGGGGGAGTCCGAAGTTATAGGGGTAGGGAAGCTCCTAAAATTCTCAGTGAAAACCCGGCTAAGGGAGGTCATTTTGAACAAATAATAAAGAGCTATAGTCATATAATTAAAATAATAAAAGTGTTGTCATCGAATGTTTGCATGTACGTAAATTCTTCAGATGCAGCCCTTTTAAATACCGTGACAGGAGGCGAGCGACATTGGCGTTCAGAACACGCTATGTGGTGCCCGCTTAAAAGAAGGCCATCTGCATCCCTTTCTCGTGGGAAATCCCGTTTCTCCATTTCTCCTCCACCNCCCCCCCGCCTTCCTCCCTCCAGTGGGAGCGACCAAATCCCGGGATTTTCCAGTTATTACTGAAAAAAATAAGCGAAGTTAGCGGAAGCCGGGATTCTGTTGTTGTAGTTTAATGCCTCTCCTCCGTTTGTGGCCACGAGGCATTGCACTCTGGCTTTTTTGCGTTAGGAGTCTATTCCATGTTCGCCCGGCCAGTGTCTAAATCCTACAAAGTTCTTATTTTCAGTTTGGATGTTGGTGATACACTGTAAGTGTTTTGTGCTCCTTGCCTGAAGATTAATACAATACTTTGTTTCACATCACAGCTGAGCGTCTTGTCAGAGAGCTATCGCGAAAACACCTGGCGAAAAGCAATATTTTGCCAAGATAAAGACTGATCATGAAAATTTTATCTATCTACAAAGCAATTCCGACAACATTAAAAATACATATTGATGAACGTGAACTCTACCTCGACTAAGATCCCGAAAGGCTGCGTAGAATCAGATAAAATCTATCGATCTATTTCTCCAAATAACATATTAATTTCAGCATCGAAGCAGTCAAGGTTTGGTGTATTCTAACCTCTCTGATAAAAATTGCTCAAGTTTTTGTGTTCATGCAAACAAACAGTTTTTGCAATGTCAATGATGATCATTTTAATTGTGGATATTACTAATATTATATTACACAGACAAGTTTTGTGTTTTGAACAAATTAACATGCAGAAAAGAGGCTATCAGTCTAGATCATAAACTGTCTTTCAGGTCATTTTCGAATTCTCGAATTGAGCTAGACTACAGATGTCTTAAAGTTTGTTTCCCAAATTATTCGCACTGACATTTCAACAGCTGACAAGCAATTAGTTGGATATTTTAATTTGATGACGTCACGACTTACTTGGCCTCAGTAAATATTGGCCCAGTGGCGGATCTAGGGGAGGGCCCCCCTAAAAAAAATATCACAGAAGGGAAAAAAGCCGGCAGGGCAAGCAAAACACCCCCTTCCCCCCTCCCCAAGCCAAAGGCCTGGATCCACCACTGTGGCCTATATAGATAGTACGCTCTGACCGACTGTAAGTGATGTTTGACTATACTATGATGTGTTAGCATCCTATATCTTCAAGGTGCACTAATATTCCGAAGTCATTTTATACCAAAGACCGTCGTCTTTGGTGGCCCCTAGAACCTACGTACTATAGAGACTTCAAACAAACTCTGACATATTCACGAGATCCTAAGTACAGTGAACCTAATCTGAATTTTAAATCACGCAAACTTATGCTTAGGCTTGTGCAAACGTCGTTGAAAAGATCGACCGCGTGAGACTGCAATTGCGTTGCAGGGTTTCAGTTTTTCTCAACCCTTGAAATTGATTCCAAAATAATAATAATAACATTATTCGTTATATGCTCTAAACGTTTTCTTTGGTTTTCTTGATATTTGTTTGAGTTTTAACAGACAGTCAGTATCAAATTTAAAACAATAAAACGCCTCTCAAACCATTTTACGGAAGGAAGTGGAGACATCAACAACAAAAAAAACATGCGGCAACTGATCTTTCAGATAATGAGAGTACAGTTTATGAAAGAATACCTCAGTGTTATACATCATGCCAGTCCAAAATGGTTTGGCACACCAAGGCATCACAAAGGTCATTATTAACTAAGGTATCGCAAGTTGTGCCAAAAACTTGTTTAGTTTTTATACTCCAGAGTGCTTCGAACATTTTTAATTGTCATAATTTCATATTGGTTTTGCGTTCTTTTTGACACTGTTTGAAAAACAAGCTAGAGACGGGCAGGCAGACATCTCTAATCACCAAAACAAAGAACATTATTGCCTGTATGAAATCAAATATTATGCTCAGATATGAATTTAAACAAACTTGTAAAAAATAACAAGCAGGTGGCACTTTGTAAAGATGAGCAGTTGCGAAGCTTTTAGTTTAGATGACGTCATATACAAAGGGCCAATTACGTAGTTTGGTACATGGAAAATTGATAGATCCAATCAGAAACCGCGTAATAGCCTGAGTGTCCGTCAATGGTCAATTCACGGGGAAGCTCCATTTGAGCCGCTAAATTATTTCGCGATCTGTTTTATGGATAAGAGGTCTGTGTGACCAATTGCCACAATGAAAAAGCTACGCCTCTTTTGAGTTCCATGCTGAAAATTAGCGACAGCGAGTTTTATCTGTTTGATATACATGACCCATATATAGCCTTTGATGTGAGTCGCTTCATGCCTTATCGATCTACCGAAAAGGGTATCTCACCCGCGCTTTTGTAACCTTCAGTTTGAAGGCATAAAAATTGTGTTTAAAATTAACTCAGCAATGCATCATTCTTGAACTAAAAAAACGAGAAAGACTTCTCCTGTTGATAAAATATCGATGCAATGCTAGATTCACCCTAAAGTTTCTCACAAAGGTAGCTCTCGCTGTATTTAGGGGATAGCAAGATATTATGCAAGGAAAACGTGTCTCAACTGCGTTGTTTGACTCAAGTTAAGTTTGAGTTTCCGCCGCATGCGTTGTCTCTAGCCCAGGGTTTCCACACATGCTAATGCTCGTGACATCTGGATCGATGGCATTCCTTCTCCTGAATCTGCAGCACCTATTAAAGACTGTACGAACAGCTCTTCTGTATTTTGGAATCCTCCAAGCGTAGACAAACGGGTCCAGGGAACAATTTAGGATTAGAAATCTATAGGCAATGTGAAGAAAAACTTGAAAACCTTTCGAAACGACGCAAACTGGACAAAAATTGCTCAAGTTGACTACCACAACATAAGGGAGAAAACTCACATAAAACAAGCAGAGAACGATGACAAATGCCTTCGTAGTCTTTATTTCTGCGCAGACTGTTTTAGAGTTCATTCTTTGGTTTCCAGGACCCACGTTTGTCATCCTTCGCGAGTGTGCTTCTAGCGCGCGAAATGTTTTCCAGTACAACAACGGGAGAACAATTAGCGGCAGCGATACGTGAAGATGACAATACAACAACTCGTAAACATCCTTTGGAATGGCTCCGGAAAAGCCGAGACCCACAAAACCGATGGCGTAGATCCAAAACAGACCTATGAGCGAGTTGACTCGTCTTGCTGTAACAATTCTGCGGTAGTTCAACGCTGCAGTGACAGCCAGCCATCGATCACACGCCATGGCTACAACATTACAACAGCCTACCATTATACTGGTGACAGCGATAACGATGTTCACCAAAAGATATCTCTCAAGCGATTTTGCCGTCCTACCCATAAACAGAAGCCCGTCGTATGCTGTTACTAGGAAGCCCGACAGAAATCCAGTCAGGAAATCTGCCACAGCCATATTTATCACCAGATTAGTGCTTGGCGAACGCAAGTTCCGATGAGGATTTTTGTAGATTATCACCAGCAAGAGAGAGTTGGCGACACTAGCTGTAAACGCCACGGAAAAATCGCCTAACATTAAAGCTAGGCGCCCATAATCAAGGCTAAAGCTAGAAGAAGTCCCGTTAGATTCAAACTGTGCGGTTGAAGAGTTCATTTTCTGGTCTAAGACCTATGTTGGTTGCAGTATGACCGTGACGCTGTTTTGTTCTTCCAAGATTCTCTAGATATTCACTTCAGTGTGCTTAAATACTGCGAAAATGACAAAAACAGGAAACGAAATGTTATAAAAATGTCGTTGCGATTATATGTAATTGTTTGCCTTAGTAAACAAAAAAATCAGATTAGTGCTGCAAATTTAATTTCAATTTCTCGAATTAGAATCTAAGCCAGAATTCGATTTCAAATTAAACTGCTGCAGGCAAAGTATAGTCAAAATAACCGTACACGGTAATATAGGTCTTATATAGACTAGTAAAATCCTAAAAGTGTAACATAATGTGGCAAGGTAAAAACACTGAAATAATAATGAACTGCGAACACAAACGGTCAAATAGATAATATGAAAAGCCAAAACATCAAAGTTTCAAAGTGGAGGACACCGGGTATTTTTCCCAGGCACACAATGTTGTCCAGTGTTTGCAGACGGCTGTACTTCCGAATATTTCTTCTGCCGGTTAAACAGCATATGCTAGAAATAACAAATCTTACTCACGTCCACACTTTGCTTGTTTTCCTGAAATATAGTGCAACGCAAAACTTCTCTATCACCAGTGATGTTGATGTCTTGTCAAACACTGCCCGAGAAGAGAAGTCTTAACTAATGACATTAATTAGTTAATTAAAATTTGTCAGCAGTTTTTAATTTTCTGCATCATGTTTTTTTCCAATTTCAGCGGGATCCTTCACTCCAGGAAGCTTTTCTGTCAAACCTGTCATAATGCTTGTCATAAAGCCTGCGGTAATTGCGACAGCAGAGACTAAAATAGATATTTATATAAACATTTCTCAAATTTTTTTCGTCAGGTGTCTGTCATCATTTTCTAAGGAGTGTTGAAGGAAGTCGGAAAAGATATAGGACTTTTTCAACCGTATTTTAAGACTTCAATCTTTATCTATGCCTGTTATTAAAAATCTACCGTGACGACTCGAGTGACTGAACCGAAAATTCCTAATTTAATACAAAGTGAAGTGAAGTAAAATATGTTATTGAAACGTTCGTGATCTGATGAAAAGACGATAATTCTTCGTATCAGTAACATCAGGAAACCCTAACATGTGATTTTCAAGTGGTTAATTCTAGACTCTGTACGAATGTCGTGTTTTACTTCACAGCACAATTGTACCAAAATAATATGCAACAGCATCCGAAACGCAGCTGATCTAATCATGATTTGAGTCACGTGACTCTTCGTGTGTTTGCCACCGTGTTTCAGTTTCCCCGCGTTTGCCACCGGTTACAAGATTTCCCGCGCTTGTCACTGCTTGTCACCCGTTTTCTGGCTTTTTCAGATTGGTTCATGAAACTGTATCCGCCCCGGAGCCAAGAGAGATCGAGGGCTGGCTTACGTCAGTAACAAGACGTAATTTTGTAAATGAGCCCACAGTGTTCTTTACTGTATTACTGTCTCAATCTTCTCTGAAAATCTGATTGATGATATTTTTAACTATGAAGAAGAAAGTGGTGTACATGCATGTTAGTGAATGAGAAGTCTTAGATTATTAACATGATTCTCTGACCCAATTGGTAAACTCTGCGAAATTATCCACTTTCCATCTTTTCAGCATTTTAACCATAAACCAGATTATCAGCAGTTTTTCCATCTGGCTTGAATAAGTCAAGTTCAGTTTTGCGAGGTCTGTTTGAGACTCAAAAAACTGCAGTAAAAGGAATTTGAATGGCGATTAGAAGAACTTTGAAAAGCTCTCCCACTTTTACCTGTTTATCCTTTTCAGGCTTGGCTGTAAAAGACAGTTCTTGTTATTTTTTTTCGCTCATTAATTAACTAATCACAACCGCTTGTCTTAATTTATTCCGGCGGATTTTCAACATTATCCTTAACGAAACAAATTAGTTATAATAACTGGAGATTAGTTCTAGAAAGTAATGATGGATTTAAGTTGCCACTCAATATAATGAAATGTGTTTGGTATGTGACCGTGCTCTTTTCCCATAAGTTTTACGGTTCGTGAACGGTTTTTATTCTGCCGTACATTTCTGCTTCTCAGTCTCGGTTGTAAACTCTAGTTTGATTTACAACAGTTTAACGGTCTGCAGATTACGTCTTTCACTGCTTGCCTCACTTCTGCGATCCTCCAAAAGTAAAGAATTGGGTTCAGCGATGAGTTGAAATAGGTAAAAGTCACCACAAGGCGTCGTGCCATTTGCAAACCATCTCCATCGATTCCTCCATGAATTCTGAGCGTGGCCACAATAACAAACGGTATATAGCAAGCCACTATGGCTAACTGCACCCACCAAATGCTAGCCACTGTCCTCTTGTAGCGTTCAGTCCTTCCGCTTTTGAATTGTTCTCGGTGTACATGGTCTTGTTCTCGTTGACTGTGTAACTGTCTTTGCTGGGAGCGAAGCCTTAGATAGATCTTGATGTAAGAGAAAGCCGAGGTTACTAAAGAAATAATGACCAAGACTAGGACTACAGACCAAGCAATATCATTTCTCCAAACGTACAAACCCCCGCACGACACACCAATGAACCAAAACCAAGTTGTGAACATACAAACGCGCCTTGATGTTACAACGTGTCTGTATCTTAGTCCCATCAACAGCGCAAGCAGTCTGTCCACACTTATTGCAGTCGATGTGAGGATCGATACCACACATAAAATATAACTTGAAGAGGAGTTTACTCTGCCAACGATGTATAAAAAAAGCCGATTAAAGCTCACTTTTGGTACGTCAGACATAATAGCGACAGCAAAGAGTGGTTGCGTTATAAGACCAATGAACAGATCCGTGACTGCGAGACATCGAAACAGAAGTTTTGTCGGGGAGTGAAGAGAAGACACTTTATAAAGAGCAAACAGAATTAGTATGTTTCCCAAAATCGCGGTGATGGATAGAAACATATTTAGGGCTGAAAGGAAAACAGCTATGCCGATATAGTTTCCAGCCGCCATTGTTCTTGGCTTTTGGCATCTCTGTTCTTAGTCGCCGGTAACACGTCCAGTTTGTTAGGTAAGTAGAAAGCCTCGAAAATAAGACCTTGCAGCTGAAAAGATTCCCATCCTGTAAAATAGAACGTTACGAATTCTAATTTAACCGTTTCTCTGCCACTATTATTTCATTTCATTTCTAGCTTTCTGATTGGTTTACACGCTACTGTAAACAGCGAATAGTCATGGCTTCTTTACCTTATATGAAAAAAAGTGCCTGCTGTCATGTTATAATGTGTCGGCCTTTCAAACAGAAAACACACGGTTCAAAGTGAAAAATGTTTAATGCAAAATGTCTGCAAAAAAAAAACATGAACAACTGAATTAATACAAGTCGCACAACAATACTGCGAGAAGCAACCAATTTACGAGAAGATCCGAAACCTGCACATTTTGTGTCGAATGGTGTACACTGGACTGAAATATGTTAGCAGAAACACAGTCGCCATAATTTATCCCAAATACTGACGGAGCGAATGGATATATATATTTGTTAATTATCGGTAGCTTTAATTTAGAGCTCTACAAAGAGTATTAATTCTTAAGGAGAAAATATGCTATCCGACGCACTTTAACAAACTGCGTTCGCCGAGGACATTCAAAACTCCGACAATTGTTAAAATACTACTGGAAGAAACAGAAATGTGTTCAAGTGAGTGTTTCAGTTAGTGAAATGTGAGTTTAACAATTGTCACCAAGGAAAACCTATTGTTATAATTTATTCTCAAAACTCTTCCACCTGTTNGAAGCTCCATTTGAGCCGCTAAATTATTTCGCGATCTGTTTTATGGATAAGAGGTCTGTGTGACCAATTGCCACAATGAAAAAGCTACGCCTCTTTTGAGTTCCATGCTGAAAATTAGCGACAGCGAGTTTTATCTGTTTGATATACATGACCCATATATAGCCTTTGATGTGAGTCGCTTCATGCCTTATCGATCTACCGAAAAGGGTATCTCACCCGCGCTTTTGTAACCTTCAGTTTGAAGGCATAAAAATTGTGTTTAAAATTAACTCAGCAATGCATCATTCTTGAACTAAAAAAACGAGAAAGACTTCTCCTGTTGATAAAATATCGATGCAATGCTAGATTCACCCTAAAGTTTCTCACAAAGGTAGCTCTCGCTGTATTTAGGGGATAGCAAGATATTATGCAAGGAAAACGTGTCTCAACTGCGTTGTTTGACTCAAGTTAAGTTTGAGTTTCCGCCGCATGCGTTGTCTCTAGCCCAGGGTTTCCACACATGCTAATGCTCGTGACATCTGGATCGATGGCATTCCTTCTCCTGAATCTGCAGCACCTATTAAAGACTGTACGAACAGCTCTTCTGTATTTTGGAATCCTCCAAGCGTAGACAAACGGGTCCAGGGAACAATTTAGGATTAGAAATCTATAGGCAATGTGAAGAAAAACTTGAAAACCTTTCGAAACGACGCAAACTGGACAAAAATTGCTCAAGTTGACTACCACAACATAAGGGAGAAAACTCACATAAAACAAGCAGAGAACGATGACAAATGCCTTCGTAGTCTTTATTTCTGCGCAGACTGTTTTAGAGTTCATTCTTTGGTTTCCAGGACCCACGTTTGTCATCCTTCGCGAGTGTGCTTCTAGCGCGCGAAATGTTTTCCAGTACAACAACGGGAGAACAATTAGCGGCAGCGATACGTGAAGATGACAATACAACAACTCGTAAACATCCTTTGGAATGGCTCCGGAAAAGCCGAGACCCACAAAACCGATGGCGTAGATCCAAAACAGACCTATGAGCGAGTTGACTCGTCTTGCTGTAACAATTCTGCGGTAGTTCAACGCTGCAGTGACAGCCAGCCATCGATCACACGCCATGGCTACAACATTACAACAGCCTACCATTATACTGGTGACAGCGATAACGATGTTCACCAAAAGATATCTCTCAAGCGATTTTGCCGTCCTACCCATAAACAGAAGCCCGTCGTATGCTGTTACTAGGAAGCCCGACAGAAATCCAGTCAGGAAATCTGCCACAGCCATATTTATCACCAGATTAGTGCTTGGCGAACGCAAGTTCCGATGAGGATTTTTGTAGATTATCACCAGCAAGAGAGAGTTGGCGACACTAGCTGTAAACGCCACGGAAAAATCGCCTAACATTAAAGCTAGGCGCCCATAATCAAGGCTAAAGCTAGAAGAAGTCCCGTTAGATTCAAACTGTGCGGTTGAAGAGTTCATTTTCTGGTCTAAGACCTATGTTGGTTGCAGTATGACCGTGACGCTGTTTTGTTCTTCCAAGATTCTCTAGATATTCACTTCAGTGTGCTTAAATACTGCGAAAATGACAAAAACAGGAAACGAAATGTTATAAAAATGTCGTTGCGATTATATGTAATTGTTTGCCTTAGTAAACAAAAAAATCAGATTAGTGCTGCAAATTTAATTTCAATTTCTCGAATTAGAATCTAAGCCAGAATTCGATTTCAAATTAAACTGCTGCAGGTAAAGTATAGTCAAAATAACCGTACACGGTAATATAGGTCTTATATAGACTAGTAAAATCCTAAAAGTGTAACATAATGTGGCAAGGTAAAAACACTGAAATAATAATGAACTGCGAACACAAACGGTCAAATAGATAATATGAAAAGCCAAAACATCAAAGTTTCAAAGTGGAGGACACCGGGTATTTTTCCCAGGCACACAATGTTGTCCAGTGTTTGCAGACGGCTGTACTTCCGAATATTTCTTCTGCCGGTTAAACAGCATATGCTAGAAATAACAAATCTTACTCACGTCCACACTTTGCTTGTTTTCCTGAAATATAGTGCAACGCAAAACTTCTCTATCACCAGTGATGTTGATGTCTTGTCAAACACTGCCCGAGAAGAGAAGTCTTAACTAATGACATTAATTAGTTAATTAAAATTTGTCAGCAGTTTTTAATTTTCTGCATCATGTTTTTTTCCAATTTCAGCGGGATCCTTCACTCCAGGAAGCTTTTCTGTCAAACCTGTCATAATGCTTGTCATAAAGCCTGCGGTAATTGCGACAGCAGAGACTAAAATAGATATTTATATAAACATTTCTCAAATTTTTTTCGTCAGGTGTCTGTCATCATTTTCTAAGGAGTGTTGAAGGAAGTCGGAAAAGATATAGGACTTTTTCAACCGTATTTTAAGACTTCAATCTTTATCTATGCCTGTTATTAAAAATCTACCGTGACGACTCGAGTGACTGAACCGAAAATTCCTAATTTAATACAAAGTGAAGTGAAGTAAAATATGTTATTGAAACGTTCGTGATCTGATGAAAAGACGATAATTCTTCGTATCAGTAACATCAGGAAACCCTAACATGTGATTTTCAAGTGGTTAATTCTAGACTCTGTACGAATGTCGTGTTTTACTTCACAGCACAATTGTACCAAAATAATATGCAACAGCATCCGAAACGCAGCTGATCTAATCATGATTTGAGTCACGTGACTCTTCGTGTGTTTGCCACCGTGTTTCAGTTTCCCCGCGTTTGCCACCGGTTACAAGATTTCCCGCGCTTGTCACTGCTTGTCACCCGTTTTCTGGCTTTTTCAGATTGGTTCATGAAACTGTATCCGCCCCGGAGCCAAGAGAGATCGAGGGCTGGCTTACGTCAGTAACAAGACGTAATTTTGTAAATGAGCCCACAGTGTTCTTTACTGTATTACTGTCTCAATCTTCTCTGAAAATCTGATTGATGATATTTTTAACTATGAAGAAGAAAGTGGTGTACATGCATGTTAGTGAATGAGAAGTCTTAGATTATTAACATGATTCTCTGACCCAATTGGTAAACTCTGCGAAATTATCCACTTTCCATCTTTTCAGCATTTTAACCATAAACCAGATTATCAGCAGTTTTTCCATCTGGCTTGAATAAGTCAAGTTCAGTTTTGCGAGGTCTGTTTGAGACTCAAAAAACTGCAGTAAAAGGAATTTGAATGGCGATTAGAAGAACTTTGAAAAGCTCTCCCACTTTTACCTGTTTATCCTTTTCAGGCTTGGCTGTAAAAGACAGTTCTTGTTATTTTTTTTCGCTCATTAATTAACTAATCACAACCGCTTGTCTTAATTTATTCCGGCGGATTTTCAACATTATCCTTAACGAAACAAATTAGTTATAATAACTGGAGATTAGTTCTAGAAAGTAATGATGGATTTAAGTTGCCACTCAATATAATGAAATGTGTTTGGTATGTGACCGTGCTCTTTTCCCATAAGTTTTACGGTTCGTGAACGGTTTTTATTCTGCCGTACATTTCTGCTTCTCAGTCTCGGTTGTAAACTCTAGTTTGATTTACAACAGTTTAACGGTCTGCAGATTACGTCTTTCACTGCTTGCCTCACTTCTGCGATCCTCCAAAAGTAAAGAATTGGGTTCAGCGATGAGTTGAAATAGGTAAAAGTCACCACAAGGCGTCGTGCCATTTGCAAACCATCTCCATCGATTCCTCCATGAATTCTGAGCGTGGCCACAATAACAAACGGTATATAGCAAGCCACTATGGCTAACTGCACCCACCAAATGCTAGCCACTGTCCTCTTGTAGCGTTCAGTCCTTCCGCTTTTGAATTGTTCTCGGTGTACATGGTCTTGTTCTCGTTGACTGTGTAACTGTCTTTGCTGGGAGCGAAGCCTTAGATAGATCTTGATGTAAGAGAAAGCCGAGGTTACTAAAGAAATAATGACCAAGACTAGGACTACAGACCAAGCAATATCATTTCTCCAAACGTACAAACCCCCGCACGACACACCAATGAACCAAAACCAAGTTGTGAACATACAAACGCGCCTTGATGTTACAACGTGTCTGTATCTTAGTCCCATCAACAGCGCAAGCAGTCTGTCCACACTTATTGCAGTCGATGTGAGGATCGATACCACACATAAAATATAACTTGAAGAGGAGTTTACTCTGCCAACGATGTATAAAAAAAGCCGATTAAAGCTCACTTTTGGTACGTCAGACATAATAGCGACAGCAAAGAGTGGTTGCGTTATAAGACCAATGAACAGATCCGTGACTGCGAGACATCGAAACAGAAGTTTTGTCGGGGAGTGAAGAGAAGACACTTTATAAAGAGCAAACAGAATTAGTATGTTTCCCAAAATCGCGGTGATGGATAGAAACATATTTAGGGCTGAAAGGAAAACAGCTATGCCGATATAGTTTCCAGCCGCCATTGTTCTTGGCTTTTGGCATCTCTGTTCTTAGTCGCCGGTAACACGTCCAGTTTGTTAGGTAAGTAGAAAGCCTCGAAAATAAGACCTTGCAGCTGAAAAGATTCCCATCCTGTAAAATAGAACGTTACGAATTCTAATTTAACCGTTTCTCTGCCACTATTATTTCATTTCATTTCTAGCTTTCTGATTGGTTTACACGCTACTGTAAACAGCGAATAGTCATGGCTTCTTTACCTTATATGAAAAAAAGTGCCTGCTGTCATGTTATAATGTGTCGGCCTTTCAAACAGAAAACACACGGTTCAAAGTGAAAAATGTTTAATGCAAAATGTCTGCAAAAAAAAAACATGAACAACTGAATTAATACAAGTCGCACAACAATACTGCGAGAAGCAACCAATTTACGAGAAGATCCGAAACCTGCACATTTTGTGTCGAATGGTGTACACTGGACTGAAATATGTTAGCAGAAACACAGTCGCCATAATTTATCCCAAATACTGACGGAGCGAATGGATATATATATTTGTTAATTATCGGTAGCTTTAATTTAGAGCTCTACAAAGAGTATTAATTCTTAAGGAGAAAATATGCTATCCGACGCACTTTAACAAACTGCGTTCGCCGAGGACATTCAAAACTCCGACAATTGTTAAAATACTACTGGAAGAAACAGAAATGTGTTCAAGTGAGTGTTTCAGTCAGTAAAATGTGAGTTTAACAATTTTCACCAAGGAAAGCCTATTGTTATTATTTATTCTCAAAACTCTTCCACCTGTTCCTATTTTTAATTAAACTCGTTGCTCTTTGCGGCAACGGCCAACTTATTAAAAAGTCATTTGGAATAAAATCAAACAATAACGGCGACGCTGCAATTAGTCATTTTGGGGTCAATTTATATCGAGGCACGTGTCTTACCCCAAATTCTCCTTACTATATCACTTAATGGTTAAACAGCCACTGAGATAAGGAAAATTTATAATTGTTCAGTTATCAATGAAGCTGTAGGTATGTCCTGTACAACAGTGGTCCTTTTTCAGTCTCCGGTAATCAAGCTTGCCTAGCAGGCGCTTGCTTGAGTGACAAAGGTAGGAGCGATACCCGTGGGCGAGAAGACGCGCGAGAGAAAAGTCTTCGCCGCGAGTGTGTCGCACCACTCCAGGTGCCTCACGGGCTATCTATCATCTCATTTCCGACGCCGCTAGTGGAATAAGTGTTAATTATCTGTGGGCTTCACAGCAATAGCTAAGCTTTCTTGAGCCGTGATCCACTCAATTTACAGCTATTGCGATTCTGCTTTAACATAGTAAAATTGTAACTTATGGAGAAAATGAAACTAAAATATTGACTGAATAACTAACTGACTGGCTAAATTTCAAAATTTTGGGTATTTTGCTTTGGCATTTTGACAAATTTTACGCAAATCAAACGTCCCTTATGATTCTGACAAACGCAATGGAAACGAACTATTTGTCTGCGACAAACATAGCTTCATGAAGGCCATTACTAACAACAGCAGTGTTAAAACTGTACTTATGTAACAAGTTTTTCTAGATTCCGACAGAACGGTAATCACGTAACGAAATAAATAAATTCTTAATCTAGTGAATGTTTTGATTAAAGACATTATTTTTGTTACGAAGGCAGAAATTATATTTAAGAAGTAAACAACGACAGAAAACACCAATTGAGCTGTCTCTGTTTATGATGGGAAGCTTTTATGTTTGTAAAAATGTTCAAACAACACTTAACTTGCACTGAGTGTAGTTATGCTCGTTCGCTAAATAAATAGCGATCTTCACTCATCTCAGTGAAGTG